ACACACTGAATATGGAAAAAGTCATGGATAAAATAGCGAAACTTGTAGATAGATGGTCAAAACGAAGATTAACCCAATTGGGAAAAATATTAATCGTAAAAGCTCTTTTGCTACCAAATATAACTTACATTGCAACTAATAGTATCATAAGTAAAGATAAACTACAAAATATTAATAATTTAATATATAAATTTATTTGGAATGGAGGAAAGGATAAAATAAAAAGGTCAATAATTACTAAAAATTTTTCAGAGGGGGGTTTAAATATGATTGATATCGAGTCTTATATAAAATCAATACATATAAAATGGATTATAAAAATAATACAATCAGGGAATGCAAATTGGGCTGTATTACCAAAGCTATACCTCAATAAATTTGGCAAAAACTTACTTATTTTCAAGATAAATTTGAATAAAATAAAAATGCTAGATAAAAAAATATGGAACGAAACACCAATTTTCTATCAAGAGATGATAAAAACATGGATAAATGTTAACAATTGTAACAATATTAATCATGATCAAATTGAGAATTATTTAGATATTAGAAAACAAATAATATGGGGAAATAGATTTATAAAATTTCAAGGAAAATGTTTGTTCTTTGATAACTGGATTGACAGCGATATATTATATATTAATGACATAATCGATAAAAGGGGGAAGATATCAGAAGAAAAAATTATTTCAAAATTGAAAAATAAAAGTAATTGGATTGCAGAAATCTTAAAAATTAAAAATTCCATACCAAAACGATGGGTCAACATATTAAAATCAGAAGAATCATTCAAAACTAATGTTCATATTAACCGAACTAGAATCAAATTTCGAGACAATACTGATATCCTTACTATCAATAATAAAGACATATATAAAATAGTGCTAGGTCAAGTAATAACAGAAACGCCAATTGGATTTGCTAAATGGGAAAGACTCTTTGGTAATGGAAGTCTCAAAAATGAATTTAAAGACTCTATTAAATTCACTTTTGAGTATCTAAAAGATAATAAAATAAAAATGTTCAGATGGAAATTAATGCATTTTATTTTACCAAATGAACAGCTGCTTTTCCAGTGGAAAATTGCACAAAATGACCTATGTACTTATTGCAATGAACTAGATAACTATAACCATTTCTTCATTACATGTCAATATCATAAAATATTTTGGAAATCAATGAAAGATTTACTCAAAAGAGTTGGCATGGAAGAACATGTTATAAGTCTCCGTTCTCTTGTCATAGGATACAAAATTAATGATAAAGCTTACTTTGCACTTAATCATTTGCTTAGTTTAATGTTCTTTTCAGTCTATAAGGCACACTATGTTTCGAATAAAAAATCTAAATGGGTAGATACAATGAAAATATTTAAATATGAAATAAATAATATAGTAGAATTATATAGTTTGGTAAACATGAAGATAAACTGTTTATTAACAAAAGTGTATAACATTTTGAGAAAAAACTAAGGTAATGTTATAGAAATGTGAAAATATACATGTAGCATAAAGTATTTTGTAATATCAATATGCTGTCAATGTGCTTATAAATGCACCTGATACCTTAAATGTTAAGGTATACAAGTACTTATCTACTTATAATATATATATGAAAAGATCTGTACTTGGTGTGTGTGTGTGTGTTGGTGTGTGTGTGTGTGTTGGTGTGTGTGTGTGTGTGTGTGTGTGTGTGTGTGTGTGTGTGTGTGTGTGTGTGTGTGTGTGTGTGTGTGTGTGTGTGTTGGTGTGTGTGTCTACATTGTACAAGTATGTATATATGGGTGTGGATACTTTATTTGCTTCAAAATAATTGGCTAAGAAATAAAGAAAAAGGGGTAAAAATAAAGAACAATATAACTAATACCATGTTACTGGGCAGATATAGTAACTAAGTGTACAGAATTTGATGCTATTCTTGAAAATTTGAGGCAATTAATATTTTATAGCCTATCTGCATATAATTTCAAATGTGATGCTTAAAATGTATAAAACATGCAACTATGAAGGAGTTTTGTGTGTGTATCTTGGATGTTTGAATCTGTCTGTGTGTGTGTAGTACGAATATGACTTCAGAAAATTCAAGTATGTGTATGTTTACAAAATAGCTGATAGGTATTTTAAGGTCACGACACGGGATCATGTTCAATTGTTCATAACGTTATGTAGGTCAAATAAATAACACATTTATTTCAAATCATTTGATTTATAACAGATAAAAACATATAATTAAAACATCTCACCTTTTCGTATTTTTATTCAAAATTACAAAACATTGCAGAATTGTGTAAATCCCAACTTGAAGCACAAAAAACGTGCGAGGTCATCGACCAGTGACCGCATTTAGTTTCTGGAACATTTAAGATAGTATACAAAAACTCATTCCGAAATAAATAGTGATAAATTCCGTAATATATTGACGAACTTTTGTGATAACGTGTGTAATGTTACATGAATATATAGTATTTTATATAGAAAAAAATAAACATATTTTGTAGTAGACTATTTAAAACAGCTATTTGTAATAGCAATTTATTTATTTAGATATTGATAGAATTTTTTTTTGTTAATTCTACTGAATATTCTCCCTGGATATTCAGTGGCACTATTAACAGGGATACTTGATGGAATGCTGTACATCAAGTGTTATTGTTAACAGCAAGTTGTGCAATAAAGTATCAATTTGAGTGTTAAAAAAAAAAAAAGAGAGATCCATACACTCCAACACAAGTTATTGTCTGGAAACTAGAAAAATGTTTATTTTTGGCCCCTTATTCCTAAACGTTTAGGGCAATTACCCCAAAACTCAATTCCAACTTTCTGCGATATGGAACCTTGTAGTACAATTTTAGAAAGATCCATACACATACACACAAGTTATTGTCATGAAACTAGAAATATTCTTGTTTTTGTCCCTTTTTTGGCCCCTAATTCCTAAACTTTTGAGGCAATAGCCCCCAAAATCAATCCCAGCATTCCCTTTGTGATATGGAACCTTGTGGTATAATATCAAGAGAGATCCATACACTAGAACACAAGTTATTGTCTGGAAACTAGAAAAATGCTTGTTTTTTGGCCCCTTTTTGGCCCCAAATTCCTCTACGTTTAGGGCAATTACCCCCAAACTCAAACCCAGCTTTCCCTTTGTGATATGGAACCTTGTAGTTCAATTTCATAAAGATCCATACACTTACACACAAGTTATTGTCCTGAAACTAGAAAAATGCTTGTTTTTTGCCCCTAATTCCTAAAATTTTGAGGCGATTACCCTCAAAATCAATCCCAGCCTTCCCTTTGTGGTATGGTACCTTGCAGTACAATTTCAGAGAGATCCATACCCTTGAACACAAGTTATTGTCTGGAAACTAGAAAAATGTTTATTTTTGGCCCCTTTTTCCTAAACGTTTAGGGCAATTACCCCCAAACTCAATTCCAGCTTTCCCTTTGTGATATGGAACCTTGTAGTACAATTTTAGAAAGATCCATACACTTACACACAAGTTATTGTCATGAAACAAGAAAAATGCTTGTTTTTGCCCCTTTTTTGGCCCCTAATTCCTAAAATTTTGAGGCAATAATCCCCAAAATCAATCCCAGCATTCCCTTTGTGATATGGAACACTGTGGTACAATGTCAAGAGAGATCCATACACTAACACAAAAGTTATTGTCTGGAAGTTACAAAAATGCTTATTTTTGGCCCCTTTTTGGCCCCAAATTCCTTTACTGTTGGTACCATAACCCCCAAAATTAATCCCAACCTTCCTTTTGTGGTATTGAACCTTAAGGTAAAATTTCATAGAGATCCATTCACTTAAACTAAATACAAAGTATGAAGCATCCAGGTTTTCTACCTTCTGAAATATTAAGCTTTTAAGTAGTTAGATAATGCTGCCGGATCATTATCCCTATGTCTCGCCTTCTGTGACTTCTGTCATGTAACTAAGACTAAAATATCAATCAGTACACATCCAACGTCCAATGGATTTAGTGTAAAGACATCATAAACAGAAAATCATGACCTTGTGCAATGCCAAAATAAAGGTATCTGTTTGCAAGGGTTCATATGACCTTGATGGTTCATTAGTTAATCATAAGTATTTGTGGTTGGGTCTGTTTCTCAGATACTGTAGGCTATAGGTCAATACTATTTGGTATATTGAATGATTGTAAGGTGTACATGCATGTCTGGCAGGGTTCTACTGACCTTTTATTTTCATGAGTTATTGATAATGTGAAGTATATTACAATACCTGTAGTAAAATTTAAATACTTCTGACAGAATTCAATCATCATCAATAAGCAGGCCAGCCTTTTCAGCATGTGGACTCTTGTTCACAATTAGAATCATTCTAGATAGGTCATTACAACATATATTTAATGGTTGATTAATTCACAGAAATTTTAAGAGAAAATATCTCCCTCAGGAAGTATGAGTTAGGTATATATTATAGGTAAAATTTTGTGAGTTCTTGTCTTACATAGAGTGTTTAATGACCTATGCAGGTATCACACAGTCAGCCCATTATGTTGTTATTGCTTAACACTTTAATTTGAAGAAAAATAAATGAAGATTGTGACCATGGGACACAGATGATGCCCCGCTTGCATATTACGTTATAAAGGGGCATAACTTGAGAATGGTAAAAGTGACACCACCTAAATTCGAACTTGATCTGTGTTTTGTGATAATAAGCATTGTGTATAAGTTTCATAATATTTGGTTGCAGCAAACTAAAGTTGGAGAATGGAAACTAATTTTGGGATGTACAGACAAACAAGAGTAACACTTAATGCTTCCTTCGCCATGGCAGGGGCCTAAAAATTGTAATTGGGTCAAAATTTTGAATGAACTGCTATATATGGAGAGAAACACTAACGATCAAGTCACAGTAAATTTCCAAGACAACTAGGACATTGCTGGCAGGATAAGTCTTATCTTTCCAGCAGGGTCATTCCAGCCAACAACACCAGATGACCCTTTGATTAATAAACAAAAACAACCATTTGTACTGATTTATTGATTGTCAATTTGAACAACAATCAACACACATAATACGGCAATAGGCCAGAGACAACTTAAAGCATCACATTAAAAATCTTTGGTAAACATAATGAATATTCATAATCACTAAAATATGTGAATTAACAAAGTAATGAATATTCATAACCACTAAATATGACTGTACATATTACTTCTGTGTAAAATATCTATCCTATATATTTAATATGTAATTACTATATATTTGCAGAACTCCTGCTTCAAGCATTTCAATCTTTTTTTATCAACTGGTCATCTTTGTTATAAAATAGCTATCTGCATGTTATAAAACCATCACACAGCCAATGAAAAAAGAAGTATATATAAATTATCAATATTAAAATAATCTAAAGTTAAATTATTTATATTTTTTGGAAATTTTCCATTTCTAATTAATCAAACAGCCAAATTTTGTACACTGTGTCATCACAAAAAACTTGCCAAGACAACTGTAAAGTAAATGCCTATTGCAGCATGATATAATAAGTCTACAAGAGTTTCTTTTCATAGGCTTTTTGTATGCGAAATTTTGAGCACATTGTTGCCTTAAACTATAATCTTTAATGCACTGTATATATATCCCATTTTACATATTAAACTTGTAAGAATCTGGAAAGAATTAAAGAAAAGATTTTGTTATTGTTGCAGATGTGACTAGCTGATAAAAAAAACCCCAAAATTATGGTAGAACAAATTCTGCTGTAAAACATATAGTGAAACCTGCCTCAACTGACCATAAACGAAACCTTTTTTTTAACTGACTTTTTGTTTGTTTGCCGAAACCTAAACAACTTCCATTGCAAAGGAGTTCAAGAAAGGTTTCACTATATAACATGAATTATAACCTATTATCTATTCTACTAAATGGCACACCAAAAACCCTGACAGGGAAATCTGATTAAAAAGTTATGACAAGTGGATAAAAGCACAATTTTTTTACCATTTAAAGCTTATTAAAAATATTCTAGTTTTTGTCTTAGCTGCATGAAATTAATGCTAAATACTGTTATGTGGAAAAATATAACTTGAGGAAACTCAATCAATTATTTCTCTTTGTGAGACTTTTTATGTTGATGAGGAAAGCGATAAACTTAAAGTCTTATTCTACAGCCTAAACAACATTAAAAACAAATAACAATGTATAATGTCATAAAGACATTCTGTCCTTCAATGCTACAAATTGGATTTTTACAGACATACCTTTTTGTTCAAATAGGACCAGCAATCCCCCTGGAGGTTCTACTTAAAATATCAAATCCTGAAATGATTAGGGTTTTACTATAATTTCCCTCATCAATATTTTTAAAGGGAAAGAACAGAATGTCTTCATGCAGATGTTACTGATACATAAAAAACTACAATAACTTAACAAAACAACTATAAGGAATATTCTAATTAATAGGAACATCATGTTTTGTTTATTATTGAAGAGGGTTGTCATGTATGTGGAACAACATGAAATAAAAAGAGAATTTCAAGATAAAATATAAAATAATTTTTAGATCTTTCAGTTCTTTTACAACTATTTGTACAAAACATGGTGAATAATAAAATTGCAGCAATAAAAAAAAAGTTTACTTAAATAAAACTTGCAAACATGTTGCACAAAATTAATACTTTAAAAGCCTCCTTTAAATGTATCTCACTTGTACCAAATTCTGGATTTCATGGATAATTTCCTTGAATTTCATCATTTTGTTGCCAAAAAACAAACAATAAACTACAAATCAAACTAGGGAATTTATGGAATTAATCTAGTAAGAAAATTTACATCTTTATGGGAGATAACTCTTAACTGAATATAAAAATAAGATGTAGTGTGATTGCCAATGAGACAACTCTCCACCAGAGACCAAATGACATAGTAGTTTACAACTCTTAAGTAAATGGTTATCTACATCTATATGGGAGATGAATCTTTTAAATGTTATTTACATCTATATGGGAGATAAATCTTGTTGGATGTTTATATAAATCTATATGGGAGATAACTCTAGTTAGATGTTTATTTACATCTATATGGGAGATAAATCTTGTAGGATGTGTATTTAAATCTATATGGGAGATAACTCTTGTTGAATGGTTATCTACACCAAAATGGGAGATAAGTCTTATTAAATGTTTATTTACATTTATATGGAGGTTAATTCTTGATGAATGTTTATTTACATCTATATGGGAGATAACTCTAATTGAATGTTTATTTTCATTTACATGGGAGATACACCTTTTGGATGTTTATTTACGTCTATATGCAAGATAAATTTTGTTGGATGTTTATCAAAATCTATATGAGAGATAACTGTTGTTGAATGTTTATCTACACCTAAATGGGAGATAATTCTTACTAATTGTTTATTACACATAGGTTGGTTATAAAGACATTTTTTTTCTCAAAATGAAAACAAAAGATGATGTTCTTATATTTTAAAATATACCACAATACTTTAACAAAATAATGCTGTAATTTAATTACACAACTAATACTTATACAAATTAAGTCACTATTTATAATTTGTGTCTATAAAATGTGAAAATTATAAACATATTGCAGGAAAAAATTAAAACACTATTTTAAACTATAAACTTTTACATACAATTTGGTAAATTGTTCCTAATTGGTACTACACAATCATTGATGGATAACTGTACAAAATTCTTTAAAGTACATTTGATCTAAATTTGTTCAATGCAAAACTGAAATGAATAAACTTTCAAATGAAATGTGTACAACATGTGGTAAAATGAACAATTTTCTAAAATCTAAGCGTAGCTAACAATTATCAATCTTAAGATACTACAACTCTTCACAAGTAAAAATATCTGTTTCGTTATGTGAAAAATGTTTTTACATTTTAGTATATATATTTTCCAAATGAAATCATCAAATTCTAAAATTAAGACGAATCCCCTCAATAAAGGACTACATTAGTGACAGCATGATATGGCTAGAACATGCGCACATGGGAACATTAGAAAAATGTATATAAATATTTAATTTACACAAGGTTTTTATTCCTGACACAGTAATTTTATTCTACGTAAGATGTTAAAAATCACTATTTTGGCCTCTAGACTTGGAAACTGTTATAATAAGTCTTGCAAATTCTGTTGATATACTCTTTTTAGCTCTAATCAATAGACAAAAATTCCATTCAACATAGGTTAAAAAAAAGTTTTATGTATCCTATTTTGGTCACCAATGAGAGCTTCTATGAGCTACCACAAACCTGACAAAAAAATTTAAGGCAGAAAATGACAGCGATAAAAATGCCATCAAAATTGGACAATAAAAGAACAAAATTAATATTTTGATATTTACATAAATTTGCAGTCATACATCAATATGAATTATTAAAATACTATAATGGTACACAATTAGAATTTGTTATACCATATTTTTACATCTTAAATTTTAATCTTGCTGGAACATAAATAATTGATAGAAGTTACCTCCCCTTATGCATTAGTTTGTGCATAATTTCTAAATTGTATTTTATTAATTGGCATATACTTTAAAAAGAGTAGACTTTTAAAGTACATCATACACAACCAAATTGACACAACAAAATATTGCCTTGTTTGTTTTTCCCTTGTATTTCATTGACTTTTTGAAATTTAATTAAAAGAAATGAATATTTTCACATTTTATTCATGATATTTATTCTTGTTTTGTATCAATTTGATAGATATTGTTAAAATTTGATGAACTGGATTTGATGCTATGTAGTGTATAACAAAAATAATTCTCCCAAAAATCTGAACTGCTATTCATTATTGACAAAAAGTCAAAAGACTAACCACATTCGCATTAATTTAAGGCTAATGCCTCAAAACTGATTATAGTGAACCAATAAAATGATTACAAACTACAAATTACATGTATCTGACACAACAACAAAATTGATTGTCAAGGCAATATATAATACAAGGATTTCTACATATATTTGTCAAAATATTTTATATATTCATTCTACCACATGAATTATTATATTTCTGAGAAAAGTTATCCCTTGTAAAATGTAAAATTGTTACGTACAAACCACAGACAATTGTTACAATAGTTTTACATGTGGAAACATAAGTTCCTTATCAACCACTGAAAAATGTCTTGAAACATGGTGATGGTGTAAAAAAAAGTTCAATAATGTGGGCCTGTGATTTCAATCAGCTTTGCAGAATTATAATTGTGGCTAAATATGACTCATTACATATCATTACCAAGTACCTTGCCAAACAAACCATACATTGTATATCAACGAAAAGACAAAATCTTTAAAAAGACATTGCCTTTACAAAATATGCTGAACATGTTATAAAAGTATAAATTCTACCAAAAAATTTGAAACCACAAGAGTTTGTAAAAGTTAAGTTCAAATGGCATTATACTGAAACCACAAGAGTTTGTAAACGTTAAGTTCAAATGGCATTATACTTTATCTATGGGTATAAAGAAGGTGCTAAACTGTCCATATACCTGTATCAAATAAAATTGGTGGATTAATTTGAAAATCTACACATCATGACCAAATCTGATAGGTTTTGTCCAGAGTTAAGGGCTGCTGCATTCACCAGATATTACACATGTTCTCATATAAACATGTTGAATATGGTGAAGTCCAATAAACTTATCACTAAATAAAATGATACAATGATATCTTCATTAACGCAAAAACCATTGTACCAAATATGAAAGGAATCAACGATAGATATCTCATGTGTTGTACATTAAAAGAGCAAAATTCTATTTACTATTACAGTAAAACCTGCTTAACTCAACCCTAAATAAACTGTAACCTTTCTATACTAAACTCAGCTATATTGATAAGGATACACCATGCATGAATATTCTTAAGGAAAAAAATCATGTACAAACTACAAACTGAATCCTGTCTAATAAAAACCAATTTGTTTGTCTTGAAGGGATTCACTTTAGACGGATTTCACTGTAATATATACAATTGACTTATTCCTATCAGTTCTTTCTTAAATCTTAACAATTCTAAACAAATTACAATAAAAAATCACCAAATAAAATCTATATAATTAACAATAATGACAATAATGTCCTATATTTTGACCTGTCTTGTTAACATGGCACACATTTTCAGGACAAAGTCTCAGGGACAGTTCCTTAGGTACAACAAATGAAACAGTGAATTCTTCTATTTTTTTGTGTTTGTTAATGTTCTGGTAAACATCCGACAATGTTGCATCATGAAATATTATGAAATTTATGATTTTTATAAATAAAGAATGATTTTACTGGCCAATAATTTACATGAAACATAAAAAGAATTATTACTTAACCAGATTACTAAGAATAAGTCTTTAGATTTAGTCTGTATACTATACAATGTTTGATCTTCACAATAAATATTGCATATTTTTTCAAGTGCAAAATTGGTAGATTTTCAGATTTGAACTTTTTTGGGGGGTAAATACTGCACAATTCTTGCTCAGATGTTAGAACATTATAAGCAATATTGAATTAAGATGATAGAACAAATTTCTAATTTAAGCTTGAATACAAAATTGCAATTTCATTAGCTATAATCAAAATTATGCTATAATTCAACTAACAACTAAAGCTAATATAGTAAGTAGGAAAAGTCTACAAGGCATATAGTTGATATACATTATGTTTAACATAGTAACCTTGACAAATGTCTAAAAACTAACAAATACAGCTTAAAAAATAAAGAAGTTAAAACAGAAGTCATTAAAAAATATTTCTAAATCTTATTTGGTATAGTTAAGTTTAAGGATAATAAGATAGAATACAATAACAAGAATTAAAAGACTGCAAAATACAAGAATTCACTGTTAACAACAAAATAACAATATAAATAAAATGTCAGTAACCCACTACATGTAATGTGTATACTATATGCACCATAGATAAATTAAATGTCTAAACATCATTGTTATGTCTTTGGTTTTAACATATTCTGTAAAACTGGACAATTCTTTGGATCCCTGCCCGACTGAGAATCTACGGACACGTTAGCACTAAAAACCATGTTCCCATTTGTTAAAGGGACAGAACTATTTACTGTGTTAGCACCATGAACCATCATAGGTGTACTATTTCCATTTGTAAGTTTTGGAATTTTCAATCCAACAGGACTTCCACTTTCATCATCACTTGGGCGTTTATTTGTTTGTGTCTCAGTTTGACTATCTGGCTTACCTTTATGAGTCATTGACAACAATTGTGACTCGTTTCTCACAACCCATTTATTATTTCCAACTGAAATAATTTCAACTTCATTTTCACTGAAAATCAACATGTTTTTCTCATATAAAACTTTCTGAGGAGTAGATTTCTCTGAATTATCATCTGTAGCAGATAGTGAGCCTTTATCTGATACAGGACTTTTAGCTAATTCTCTTCTGCTATCTTTGATAGGAGCTGATGAGAGATCAAGAGGAGACGTTCCACTTCTGTCTGACAAAGCCGGACTTGGAATTGACAACTGTGCTGGAGACTGTGGGCAGTGCCATGAATGTGATTTTACACTATTACTGGATTGTGGTCTCGGTGTTGGTCCAGGTCCAGTTCCAAGACCTCTATCTGGCAGGGTATAATCATACAATAGTGTTCCGGCATATTTATCATATGTAACAGCTGCAGGGAGAGCTGGTACTACATTGCTTCGAGAGACTGCCTTCTTCTCAACCGATATTGCTCTGTTTGAGGTTGGTGACAAACTTCCAGAAGAACTGCTGTCACGACTCCTGTCACGACTTTTACCTCTGGCATTAGATCCTCCGGAGTGAGGAGATGTTTGAGGATGTTTTTCCATTGAATGACTGCTACTTAATGCTGGTGAAATCTGAGGTGAATTTTCCTTCGATGATGTTTCAAACTGATACGGTGCGATGTTAATTGTAACTGGTACTGTATTTCCAATCTTGTCTGATGCCACTGTGTATGTCTGAGGTGAAGAAATAATGGATACTCCTTCACTGCTAAATTTTCTTTGTGTTAAAGGAGAATAATCTTTGGTAACAATTGGAGACAAAGGACTTGAAATTGTGACAGAATTTTTTGTGATATTACTCACTGCATCATTAATTTCTGGATCTATTTCTATAATTGTCTCTGAACTTTGACCTTGAGCAGCCTCATTCTGATACTGTAATTGCTGAGCTGCAATATCATCTTCTTTCATAATGGCTGCCGTTTGTGTAGTGATTAAGTGTGAAATGACAGAATGTAGATTGTGTCTATTAACGTCAGATTTAGGTGAGCTGCTGCATTTCATTCCTTCTGCTGCTAGCTCTCCTATATCAACTGTCTGACTTGTTCCTACGGCAGGTTGAACATGTCCATTATTTTCACTGACAGAAATACCAAATTTCTGTCGGCTGAGATCCTCTACTGTGAAAACATGTTGTGCATTCTCGTTTGTTTTAATGGCATCATTTCCAATTCCTTGTATAACTATGCTGCTAGGCGCCTGTTTAGGTGAGGTTCTCATTAATGTTGGTGACACCTGTGATGTCTGCTGATGAGCGATAGGAGGAGAGTACTCAGGGCGAATCATGTTGACTGTAGGAACCAGGACACCTTGTGCAGTATCCAAGGATACCTGTACGGGAATGATGGTACCTTCTGTTGCAGGAGTCATTTGGTTTCCTGTCAGATTAGGGATGCTAATCATGTATCTTTGTATACGTTCAGTGTCTAAAGGGAGATCATCCATATCAGTTGTCTAAAAACACAGAACAATATGGTTAATTTAAGATTCTGTATAACTTGGTCAGTTCCCTTCATAGTATAATGGTAAATCACTATCTTAAAGACATTTTAGATAATTACTGTGGATTCATTATTATTTGTGGGATACCGATTATTGAGGATTTCATGGGTAAAGATGAACAACAAATTCAAATGTTCAAAGAAGTACAAATTTTCTATAGGTTCTTATGTGGACCTTTGAAAAACCACAAAATCAAACATCCACGAAATACAATGTTTCTCAATCCCTGAAAATTGGTACCCATGAGAATAAATGAATCCATAGTTAATGAATAACTGACACAGTGGATTCATTGATATCTATAAACATAGTTTGTCTCACATATATTTTGCAGGGTTTTCTAATTTGCATTGGAAATAGTATCCAAAAGTTAAACTCACCCTTTTATATCTAAGTCTTTTGCTTCACAAGACACCATGCATGTTTCAGTTTATAACATCTTGTTTTGGAAAAAGTATATATAATTTACCCCATCACAGGATGTGTTATGTTGTTAGGATGCTGTCTCAATAAAGGGTATCCCACAGTCCCTTTAATCCATATTTATATATGTATTTGTGACTTGAAAATGTGTAATTTTACTTGAGCTTAACAATCAAATCATATTCAGATCACCCATAAATTTCTATAAACTATGATTACCCCACCAAAGTACATGTAGACTGTAATTTTACTTAAATCAAATTTCAAGTTTGAGAACTTAAGATCTGATTGTTTTTGTCTTTTTTTATAACTTGTAAATGTTTTTAAAGTCTTCCTGTCTGGTTAATAATAGCTTACTGTAAAAAATTTAAAGGATGAGTGAATTTGCAGTGATTATAACATTTATATCAAAATCTCTCATTTGTTTGTCTTTTTTTCTAAATAGAGTTGTCTTTCTTGGATTGTCAATTTAACTATTGTCAAGACATTTGTTTTTCAATTTTAAGGCAGTAACTCTTTCCAATATAAGAGGTGGGAGATAGTGGTAATTTCAAAGTGAAGGTTGAAAAATTTGCATCACATGACATTTTTCTATGCATCTGCCAAGCCTTTCTCACAGGTAAAGTAAGCAAACATAATGATTTTAACAGATTTCAACTTAAACAAATTGACAATACTTTTCTTATTTGGCTCCATTACCCTGCTGAAAACAGGTCAGAAGACATTACCCATGAGTTGATATAACACTCAGCTGAAGTGCTGTTGATCCGAACTACGCCTGAACGTCTAACATAATCATGTGACTGGTTTGTGTAAAATGAGTTCAGAAACGAAAAGAGACTTGCAGTATAGTGAAATTTTGAAATTCTGATTCTACCAAAAGTCAAAAAATAAGACAGATTCTGTTTTGTCTTCCTTTAGTTTTTCTTTTCTTATTAAGTAATTCTTTTTTTTTAAATCAACTTACATCACAATCTTTGAGACTGCCATCAAAACTTCTTCTTTGAAGTATAGCTTTGTCTCTTATAATTCTATTTATAGAACTGATTGATGGAATATTCTTCTCCTGACATATACCATCGGATAATAATCTGAAAATAAACAATAAATATGAATAAAGTCTGATAGTTTCAGTAAATTGTAGTAACTTATATGTACATCCACAAGAACAAGTATGTGGATGTGGTATGTGTACCTGATCCTTATTAAGAATTGAATGCTATTTTATGTAATTTTATTGGGTTGTAAAAGCGTTGACCAAAGCACATAAAGTATGAAGTGCTTTCGTGCATCATACTACTAAAAATGTATGCCATTTTCAACACTAATACAACCATATAAAATTACAAAGAGAAGCATTCAATTGTTATTATAAAATTTTTATGCTACAACCATGAAATTATGAGTTAAAACAAGTTTTTAGTTAGTTTTTCTATGCACTGTTTTAACATTGTCACAGAGAGCACATGCAGTAACAGGTAATAGATATTGCATTTTATACAAAAATAACATCTATCTTTTGGAATGACATGCCAATTAGAATTACAGATCCTTATATTTATGTTATTATTGAGTAAAAAAGATCACATTAACTAGATATACACTCTCCTAACGTCTTTAGTAAAAACAAATGAGGCAGAGTCAATGTTTTGCCATTTGAAACCTCTCAAATAATTTGAATGAAAAGTGAAGATTTTCTACAAGTTTCATTGAATACAAGTAAATGATATAGGAGGAGAAGTGGACACAAACTGTGAATAGACTGACAAATGAATGGACACAAAAGGTGAACAGACTGACAAATGAATGGACACACAGATCAACATCCTTAGAGAATAGAATGATTGATTATGTACTTTGTTGCAAAAATAGTCAAATTGTTCAATCCTTTCGAAATTATATAAGTTACATTGAGAAATGAATAGTATGACTACTGAAAGCTGGAATATTTTTGTAATTAGCGCATAAATACTAGGTTTGTCCTGCATATCAACAATAAGTTTGACCTGCACACCAACGATTGGTTTGCCCTCCACATTAAAGAGAGATTTGCCCTGCACACCAACAAAAGGTTTGACCTGCATCGATAGTAGGTTTGCCCTGCACATCAACAATATTAATGCTTTCTACAAACTATTTGTGCAAGGGATATTAACACATAATTGGTCAGTACAATTTTGATTTTTTTTTTTAAAGTTATCAATCATTTTTTATTTTTTGTGCAATTACTAATTGATAAAAGAAAACTAAAGAGAAATTTTGGACACAAAACCACTATAGGAATTGTAGAAAATCTAATTATTTATAAAAAAAAAAAATATTTAAACTTCCATCTGAATATCTTCACAGACTTTTTATATAAATGAAAGAAATAATTAACAAGAAGTGCTATTTCTTTTGCAATGACAGTTAAACAAAAGAGAAGACTTTAGAAAATTCCACTGGTAGCAACTTGTCAGAAAGTTATCACAAAACATATAATGCAGAAAGAGACGTAATTGATGATGTAGTCAGGCGTTGCAAAAACTCAATTTGGAACATGATATTATTGGTCATGCTTTTCGCCTCCATTTCAAATATCAACAGAGATTGTATTATATAAAACCAGTAAAGTGTAGACACAAAAATGTCTCTGGATCAGCGATTATGACATTTTTAAAGTGATAAATTGTTTCTGCACAATACTCCTTATAGGATAAAGATTTTTATCTAGGGACGTAAAATTAGTTCAATACTTTTCCTTTGAAAGGCAATCTTTAAAAATTACAAAGTATCTTTTTAATGCGTTACAATAGAAGATCACAGACCGTGAAAGCATATTATGCTTCCTGCTTCTGTAAAAGCTGACATGAATTTTAAACGGAACAAAAAGCATTTGTGCATTGTTCCAAAACAATTAAAAACCTACTGAAAGCTTGTATAAATTTTAAAAGGATCAAGGGTGTGTGCAGTAACGTTTAAAACTCTAACATATAATTCACGGTAGATTAAAAACCTGTCAGATATTCAATAGAAATTAGAAATTCCACGTAATATTTTCCATACTATCAATATATCTACCGGAATGGAAATCATTAAGGCTTATTGTAATTTGACTGTTTAGTTACGCCCGAGTGATCTTTTGTCCTTATCATCATGGGTATTGAATATGCTTGTGACGGACTGTATGCAGGAAACTTGGATAATCAATATGGTTAAAGACATTTTAAACGACTTTCTCCACTGGATCAGAAAATTCTATATTGATTATTGTCACGAGCTGCTCAAGGGTTCTCCTTTATTTAATTCATTTCTTCAATGACGTGTCACACTTGCGAACATCAACGTTAGAAATTTGAGCACCTGCTTTGCTCATCCGTTTCTTGTCATTTAGCTTTCGGAAGTGTTAAGTCGCTGATGTATTAAAACGGCAGGGGCCAATGTAAGCCCCAGTGTCATATTTGTACCAACATTATGTTTTCACTGCATCTTCTTTTTCTACAAATTACTGTACTTTTATGATTATTGTTAACAATAATGGTCTCCTAGTAACCAGTTCATTCCAAATATTCTTTCCTTGTATCGTGTGATGATTTTAGATTATTAAACAACCGTAAAACATTTATATTTTCTGATAACATGCAGTATAAAAACAATCTGTTACAGAATAGATATACATTATATCAGCCTTTTTTCTTTTAATCTTTTCCCTTTCTTTTTCTTATTTCATATTAATATACTATTTATGAGAGAAAAAAATATTATTGTACTAAAAAATAATTATCCATTAAAAAAAAAGAAATTTTCTTGTCGGGGTTTAAATGAAAAAGCAAAGTTTGAATTGAGGAAAAAATTAAGTACATTTTGCACAAAAATATAATTTTCTTATTTACAAAGTTCTAATTTTGCTGTTCTACACTTGTAAACTTATTATTTCAAAGGTGTCATTTTTTCAGATATAAGATCTCCCGTTTCTACATGAAATGAATTAAAATTTATCTTAAACAATTACTTTTGTCGTATTTCCCATGCGAACATCTGTGGATTTTCCATCTTATACTGCCGTACACGACTGACCACATCAGGGGTCGTAACCTTAGGTTTACTGCCACCTATTTGACCTGGATTTATACTTCCTGTCTTTCTGTACCTAAAAGAAAAATCATATGATGTAAGTTAGTCTAAAGATATTAAAAATGTCTGCCGAATAGTTTCTATCTGTATAAGTTGTCCAGTACAGATGCTGTATTCAGGTCTAAAGATTTTCAAAATTTCTGCCTATTAGTTTCTATCTGTATAAGTTGCCCAAGTACAGATGATGTATTTAGACTATTTCAAAATCAGTCAAAAGATTTCAACTCAAAATATGCGCATCTGGTACAGTAAAATCGGTATCATTAATGTTATTAATAAAATACAGTTAGACTTCCCGATGCCTCCTTTGTATAGATATGGGAAACCCCAAAATCATTTGGATACAAAATTGAAATAGAAGTCTTACAAAGGTGTTAAAGATTGAAGATTCTGTGATAGTTACTTTGAAGACAATACATTGGTTTCAGAGAATTTGAAGATACAAGATCTAAGCTATTTTATGGCAAACCTCAATATCGTTTGAAACAAAATAAAAAACCAGAGGCTGTCAAAAGTTCACCCATGTCTTTTCTTATTCTTATTCAGAATTGCTTTATGATGTCAGAGGAGTGAAATTACAGGATTTTGACATAATTATAATTTTATTTGATACAGGAAATAACGATATTTCAGTGTAACCAATGTAATATATTTTCATATATCTAAGATAGTTGTAATGTTCTATATTCTTTAATTCATAGATGTAGAGAACTTTCATATCTCAATTGATACAGTAGTACAATAAAAATATTCAAGAATGGAATGGCAATATTTTACAAAACATTAATTACATATGATAATTCATACACACTCATCCACATCTGACTGCTAAGCTTCATCTAAAGATCATGATAAGGCTAGCAATATTGAGCTGATTTTCTCTTTAAAGGATCAGTGCAAGTGATAAACTTCAAGTTTCTTCATAGAATACCCTTATACTGTTTTAAAACCTTATCTCAATCATTCTCTATATTCAAAACCATTTATAGATTACTATACAGTGTTTTGCTCATCATTGAAGGTCGTACAGTGATATACCGTTGTTCACATATTTGTCCTTTGGTCTTAAATGGATAGTTGTCTCATTGGCAATTATACCACATCACATTATCTTTATACCCAGTAAGCAATTTATAAAATTTATTCAGTATCATATTTTATTCAAAATATTAAAACTCCAACATAAGGGTAGAATTGTATATGTTTTTACACCATAAAGACAGTTTTATTACTCTAATAACAAATCTAAATCTATCAAATTATAGTTATTCAAATAAAAAGACACTTTGCACTTTACTAAAAACCAAATAAACGTCAATCTACAATAGTGGTTCTGCTTTAGTGATTCGTCAGACTGTGACGAAATTACACGAAAGTCATAAAGAGGGCTAACACAGAGTTATTTGTAATTCTAAATTTAATGATTGGAAAATTTATGTCAACCAAAGAAGTTCATCGAACCATGCTTGAATGGGTCATTCTTGACAGTACAATAACAACAAAAGATATCTCACTGTGCTTTAAATACCGTGACACCACGATTTGGAGATTTAACAACGTTCTGCATACATATATAAAGTATTAATTCAAAAGGATTTAACGGAGCAAATAATTACTTAAAAAGATTACAAAAAAATACCAAGAATATGTCCCATCCACAAACAGGAGGAAATTGACTCTTTAAAACTGATAAAATTTCCTATCATTTCAAATTTTCTGAAAACAACATTGGTCTTCATAACCTTCACAAAATGTTAACCCTTTATTAGCACTTATATTGTTTTATTGACACTGATTATTTTTTTATATATTTTTTCTTACATGTTGACTCCTGTGATAAATGTCAATTATCAGTTATCATTTAAATTCCAATATATATATTAACAGCAATTACAGGTGTCAACATAATGTTCAATTTATTATATGACCCTTAAAGGACTTCAATGGTGAAGAACATAAATAAGAGCAGATCAACATTCTCAATTCCCTTGAATTCTCCACTAATGTGAGACATATATAACTATGTAAACAATTTGCATCCATGTTTAATTTAAACCAACACTGCAGACAAGGCTACCAAAATGAAATCTTTTAGCAAGAAATGTGCTCCATTGATAAAACTTAATAAAATAACAGCATTCCAATGACCCCTGTTGATGCATATATTTTATCTGTCCAACAGCATTAACTCTTATCAATTTTTTTTTCTTTTTTCTTTTTTTTTTTAATAAATATCCTACAAGAAATGTAGGCACAAGATCACTAACAATGTTTTTCTAAATAATTTCATTTTCAAAGGCCCATAACTCCAGTAAAAATAGTTAGTCATTCAAAATATCAGAATGAAACCTTCAGCGGGCAAACTTTAGTGAAGAAAATCGGAGGAAGAAAGATAAAACCTTGTTTAGTTTAGTTTAAACATATTTTATTTGCTTAAATATGCAAAAGGGATGAGACACAAGTTAATCAAACTTATGAAGTCTTCTCCCAACCTTGTTCAGAAAGAATGAAACCAAATACATCATATTCCTAAGCTGTTAAAAAGTAAGCATTGTTTATGTTTTAAAATCTTTTTTATAAAATAAAGAGCTGAAGTATATCCTCTGCTCCCAAATAATGAGCATATCATATATTTTTAAAAATAGAAATATCGAATTTCTCCAAGAGTGTAAAGTTCATATTCCTAATATATCGAAATAATCAGAAGACTGAAAATCCCATATCACTTTCATCCCTGAATAAGACAGAAGCATAAAAAACAGGATGTTACAACAAGTGAAAAGTTTAAACTTGTGAATAGTCAGATGTTCCTGGAATATATTACTATTTTTTATTTCTCAAGGTTGACAACTCCTGAATATCAAAAATAACAATGTAAAAATCAATGTTTGATCAAACCAAATGAATTACACCAGCAGTTACTTCTTATTAAAGTATGGTCTTCCTCCAGTGAACTAAAGTAACAACAATCAAACCATTAATTTTGTCGATTTTCACCATTTAAGGTGCCTGATTGCTGAACATTTTCTGCCACCAAAATGATAATAAAAATTCAACTAAATTAGATTTAACAGAAATCTTTTATAATACAGCTGCTTGTATGACACTATAAGCCTTCATTTTTTTTTTATTAATCTATGCCTATTTCTAATTTCCCAAAATATTAAAGCTTCCCTTCAAAGCGTAATCAAGTTTTCATGTAGAAACCATCAGTTTTTCAGATTCTCCTATCTTCAAGGGCACCTCTCCTCAAAAGACATGACAGTGAATACCAAACCTGAACTGCAATAATAGTTATGGTCAATTTAAACTTGTTGAAGCAAACTAAATTTTCATCTAATAAGACTAGACACATTAAATAGTCACCTGCTATAGACCAAATAGTTGAGCTATAGAAACTGAAAAACAGAACCAAGCACAAAAATTAACATGAATCATTGAATCCAGCCAGTGTCAGAGGTCAGGATGAGCTGAAGTCAGACAGGTGAACATGTAAATTAGACCTATCATTCATTACACCTAAGATTTATACTCTAGACGGAGTTAAAATGATATTCCTACATTTATGATCTCTTCACATTTTGTTCAATCTGTCAAAGCATTTTACCTGTTCAATATTTTACTGACACAACCATGTGACACTTGTAGCTGTCTGCTGATCTCACAAGGTCGTATGCCTTGTAGGGCTAGCTGTAAAATCTGGACTCTCAGATGATCTGGCAAGGGACGGCCATTTGTAAATTCTCGGCCATACTGATTGATGTTCCGACCTCCGACTGAAAATAAAATGGAAGTTTGTATTTAAAATTTATTAGATTTAACAGAAATCTTTTATAATACAGCTGCTTGTATGACACTATAAGCCTTCTTTTTTTTTATTAAACACAATTTTTGATCTTCTGTCTTTTCATTCTGTTAGGGGAATGCATGAGTTATATGATTATTTTGATTCACTTATCCTACAGAAATATTCTGAAGTTATATGGACTTGTATGAACTTTTGAAATAGGCATAGAGTGTACCTTCTTGAACACAAACATAAGACTGAGAGAATTGACCTTGACCCTTTTGTCCATGCTTTTTTTTAATTTACAGCATATCATTGTCACCAATTTCATAAAAATATGCTCACTTAAATTAAAATTTTAGATGATAGATTTGAAGATTTCAAGGTGTAAATATAACATATTTCAACATTTATGATCTGGTTTATAAATGTGTATGTGTTCAAATATAACTATCTATGCTTATACATTCATATAATTTTATGAATAATTTAAATTCTTCAAGTCTTGATTTATAATACCGGGTACCTTTATTTACTATTAGCAATCATAAAAAATAATTTTGCATGGAATTGACATTAAATTGTATAACAATGGCATAACGATTATGCTATCTGAAAGCAGTGCTTATGGCATACATATTCTATCTACTTTTCATAAAATTCAATTTATTGATGGTTATGAAATATTCTTCCGTAAAGTCGTATCTAATTGGTCAGCTGTTTTTTGGACTAAGTGTATTGCATATATCATAGACGTATAAATATCAAGTTTATGTACAAGATTTGTTTCACACTAGTATCAGTATATAATGATTCTATGGAACCGTCTAGATTTTTTTATGTTCTAAGTATTAACATTGAGTCAAAAGAGTGTTTTCTTATATAAAAATCATTAAAACTGGCTTTAAAATTGAAGAAAAATTATTTGTTTTTTTAAGAATGGTTACTGTCACAGAGATGAGAGTTCAATGTTAAAGAGATGAAAGAATCCTTTCATTGATAAATCTATGTAAAAATTAATAATACATGTATTTTGAAATATACATGATCTAAAATGGTGTTGTTATTTATTTATATTAGATTTTAACCTGGTAATGTTATTGGTAATGTCTTGATAATAAGTGAAGCTTGATTGACCAATAATATTACATGAACATTGCAAAGTAGGTGTGTATTTGCATTTATCTTTTATTAATGGTATATTGTTTTGTCCTGTGTTTCATGTATATCAATAATTCATCAAAATTTATTTAGCCCTTAGCAGAATATTTGCATAATCATATATTTTTTGTAAGAAATCTTGCTTTACACATCAAATCACACATGAAAAGTGGAGAGTTTAGTTTGGGACGTCGGAAGCACATTTACTTTATTGTAAACATGACTTAAATACCAACGTAGATAGCACAGTCATTTTCATGAAAAGAAGCAAGACCAGTTTGGCCTAAATTATGTCTTAAATACCTACTAGTTGTATTTTTTAGACTGAATTCATAGTTTCAAAAGGATCACAGTAATCCAGTAGTTGACCCTCTTTTCTGTTAAAGTGCATTTTATAGGTCTAGTTTCTAGACCTCACTCTTTCGATCCTTTCGACCAAAATCAATTTGTAATAGAAAGACATTTGAGTGTGATGCGCATGCTAACAAAAAATTTTGTCTGTCCATGTGGCCAATGCCAAATTTGGCAGAAACTGCCAGAAGTCAATACTATGATGTTCACCATCAATGTGTGTGATTACGATGTGATAATGTCAACATTACTGATGGACATAATTAAAGTATTTACTTTGTATTTGCCAGATATGTTACACCTTCTTCATGGTATGCTAGTGACAGTTTTGTACATATTAAACTTTATAAACCTACTGCAATAACCAAAATTTAGTAACAATTAGTCCTCCATGTAATTATTCTAACTTTTTTTTGACATTTTTTCCTTTTTAGAGTTTTTGTATTAAACATTTTTGTCAATTTTTCTTTTTGAATAAACAGTGGCTATCTTGTTTGAAGCAATTGGGGTAATTAGCCAGTATTCTTCAAAAGAATCCTAAGTGTATCATTCAAACAATACCTAGTAGCAACTGGTCCTTCACATGATCTTTTAAGATTTTATCAATAGAATATTTTGTCCAGTTCTCTACTTTTTGTAACAGTTAAGGCAAGTTAAAAGGAGGTTTTTTAATGAGGATCATAAATATACCTTTTCATTAAGTTTGATAGCAATTCAGGATATTCCTGAATTTTTGATAAAATATCATCATATGATAAGGTTTTCCTTAAGATAGCAGGCAATCCAGGATATTTAAATGTTCGACAATCATTATTCGTCAGATTACAGCACCTTGTTTTAATATCTAAACATTATACTAATTTGGATATATTGATCTACCAATAACCAACCTGAATGTCTTATTCTTTCACTTTTCTGTTTGTCTGTCAATTCCTCGCCATTGCTGTAAACTTCATCATCAAACACTAAACTATCATTATCAGACCCAATCTCTCCTTCTATGCTTCGATTCTGTTTCCTTTCCTTTACTGTACCGACATTGTTTTGTGTGGAATCAGGGCTTGTTTCCCCAGATTTTCCAGTAAAGTCCAAAGCATTCAAAAGAGTTTGGTGTTGAACCTGAAGTGATGGAGTTTGATTGACTTGTCCCTGCTAATATAGAAATGAAAAAGAAATATTAACCTGAATACAAGTCCTAATGACTCATACATGTACAGATTGAACAATTGCTTCTCTCGGTGGTTCAACTAAAGATTTCAATTCATCGGTTTAATTTCAATTGTTTAGAACAATGTTATCAATCACAGCGTTTTGGTGTACACTTTTGAAAATAGTACCCAGAATGCATTAGATTCTGAAGTGGCAAGTTTACATTTAGCTGTTCCTCTCCTACCAGTCAAGTGCAGAGCAGGATATATACATATGACATTAACAGATATTAAAACCTCAGGCAGTCATGTTTTCAATCTGATAGGAACTAAATGAGAATCACTTGTAGAAGACCATGTATACAACATTCCTACAAAGTTTAGATGAAATAGGACAAGTAGATTTATAATAGAAGGTGAAATTATTCACAGGTTTTCAATAAGTACTATGTGCCACAATGATTAATATTAATAGAAGATTGATTATCTGGGGTCTTCCCATTATAAATCTAAAATTTTGTGAGGTCTAGATCCTCTAAAATACAGAAGATTATTAAAAAAAAATTGGCCAATCAGAATCAAAGATTGCACATGGAGTAATTTTTTTTCAGCTGATTGAAAAGATAGGAGGAACTCATAAAGGACCTACCATACATTACTCCTGCCAGACTTGCTTTAAAATGAACATATTTTTGTATTTAAAGGAATTTGTGATTACTTAAATATGAATTGTTTGTTTGTCATTACATCAAAAGACATGTATGCTGATTAAACAGAATGATCAATCAGGCATCTAAATTCCTTCTTTGCATTTTCAAAGGTGAATATTTCTTTACAGAAAACAAGATAATTTTATAAAATATTTCCTTTTGAATCATGAGTGAGTGTTAATGTTTTATACCAGTAATGGATAACTGTGGATTCGTTCATTTTGTTGGAAACAATTTTTCGTTGATTAAGAATATATTGCATTTTACATGGATACTTGAAATGGTTTCATGGTTTTTACAACTTCTGCACACAAGCTTATCCGAAATTTGCATTTCGTTGAACCATTACATTCATGAATCACCTTTATCCACAAAATTAGTATTCCCATGAATAATAATGAGTCCACATTATACCGGAAACGGTTTGAAGCATACCTGTAACATGGATTGTTGAAACTGTAACAGGTTAACGAGGTACTGCTGTTGTATCATTCTCTGTAGCTGTTCTGCTGTATTTCCCTCGGGAGAAATGACCATCACTGGAGTGCCAGGTTTATCACCATTTTTATCCTCAGTATTGTTGTTAGAGGTTGCTGCGTCATTTTCACAAGAGTTGATCTCTCCTATGTTTTCTTTGTCAACAATCTGAGCTATATCTGGGGCATTCTCTTGATCTCTTTCCTTGTCCTCAGAAGGAGGCTCCATGGACTCCTTCTTGACTTGAACATTGAGGATGTCAGTTGCCATCTTTAATTCACATGCTAGTCGGTGTTTAAACTGAAAAATATAATGAAAAAAAAGAATAAATTTAAAGATCTTGAAATTTCCAAGTATGAAAATTTCAGAATTCAGAATCAGTTTGGACCTTATATTGATACATATGTTTGTTGGTCTCTGGATTTAAGCACACCTGATTATTTACCAATTTATTAAAAAATATGGCAAATTTCCTGCAAAAAATAATTGTTCTTGTATGTACATTACCAGAAAACAAAAAAGCATCAATAAAAAAAAATAACCAAATAAGATGATACTGGTAATCCAGTCACAATTCTGTGGAGTGGTACCAAGCTGGTTAAAATCAACAAATGACTCAAAGATTTTTTTTTAATATGAATTTATATTATATCCATAGGACAACATTCCCCACTTGCCCTGCTTGCTGTATCAAAACCCTATTTTTGCATTCATTTTAATTGTGATAGTGCAAGCAGGGGAATGGTGTCCTATGGTTACATATTCTAGTTTATTTTTACATTTGGTATATTAAGCCCATCTTGTTCATTAGTATCACTCAATGTTTCTTCCTTTATCTTGATTATATTTTCTTCCAATTGCCAGTCACTTTCCTTTACTTTCATTTCAACACCACTACTGCACAAATTTGTTGTTGGAGATTTGGTTTTTCTTGCTTCAGACAGTTTGTTTTCTGGTTCAGTCACATCTGTAGAAATATTATAGTGCTGTAAATGTTGATTCAGTTTTTGAAAAGAACTAAATATTATAGAACAATGCTTGCAGTATGTGCATTTATGATTGGAAAGAGTTTTTCTTGATTTGAAACTCTTTTTGCAGTCATCACATGGCGATGTGGCACAGTTATGTGATTTCAGCTTCTGTGAAGACACAAATAATCTATCACACAAACGACAAATGTTGCATTGATGATTTTGCAGGAAAGATTTTTTGTTATAAGTTTTCCCACATCTAACACACTTGTAAACACTGCCATTGTATGAGTAAGTTTCTTTATTTCCTAAGTCAGTCATGCTGTTTCTTCTGAAAAGGTAAAAAATAAAATATAGTGGGTTTTTTAAGACACATGCATGATTATGACAGTATAAAATTCTGAGAAGTCACTAACCATGAAAATTCACAAATAGTACAGATTTTCCCTTTTGTTACTGTAACAACAGTTAAATTTCCTGACTGAATGTTTTGAGATCTCCTTTGAATATCTGAGGATTGGTTCAAGTCAGTTGAAAATTATATTTAACTAGAATAAAACCCTATAAAAATTCTTCACAAAACTGCAATCACATGCCTGAATTAAATTGAAAACCAAATAATTGACATGTCAGCAAGGGCTCCATATGCTCATTTTTGTTTGAGGCACAGAAACAAATAAATAATACTGATGCAAGAAAGTAGTTCAAGTTCATGAGGTATAATTTTCCTTAATTTTGACAACAGGAATTAATTCAGGAAGTGTATCTCTATAAATATAACGGTTTATTTAAATTCAAGCACTATGTATTTTGACGAATAATTCCTAAATGGTGGGTAACCAATAATTTTTTTACTCTTGGAAATCAATTTAAAATAGAAAATTGAATTTCTAAGAAATTTTATCAAAAGCCAGATGTTTCTTAAAATTTGTTATATTTAAAGTTATTTTGAATTATTTTTCACATTTTTTATACGAGGAATCAATTTGGAAAGCATATTATACCTATATAACAATTTTAGTTGCAAACTAGCAAAAATGGATGTTTCTCAAAATTTGAGATTTGTTTACAAAAGTAAGCTACTGCTGCTACTTGTGTAGAAGTCAGCCTACTTATAAGTCATTTGACATTTTCATGTCAGAAATCCAAGACTTAACTTTTGACCATCTTATAAGTCGATGATTTTTGCCATTTTTTCTGATGTAAAAATTGGCTGATGCATTTCTGCACGTGTTAAAATAGTTTATATCTTCTAATTAAATTAAGGCAACTTTATTTTTTCTGCGTGATTCTGGTCACATAATTTGTACTTCCACAATGTGCAAATTGTTTCTGTTTCATGGATCAATGATTCTTTTTTTAAATCCTAGCACAAAAGACAATTCACATTATTGTGACTTTTTTTAACAAACACTAAGTTATTTCAAAATTACTGAAGGAGTTTTGCTCATTTTTAAAGGTTGTTCAGTAAACCTATAGTTGCTAGGTGAATAGCTGACTCATTGGCAATCATACCACATCTCCTTATTTTTATATTCTAGTTTCCAAATACCAAATACTTAAAAAGTATTTCTCTTCATCAACCATTTCCAAAAAATATTTGGTTGGTAATTTTTATACCCTTAGTTTTTCTCTTAAAAAGCGCAGGTATAATTAAAGCAACACACTACCGGTAGTTTAATAATTTCTACTTAATCCTGCTTCATATTTTTAACCCAAAAGAATCAACACTTCTGTTTTTAAATATTTCATTTTACTGCTATAAACTTTAAAAAAAACTTTTAACAGATTACCCACTTGAACTTACAAATACCGGTATCTGTAATTACAATACCATTGTACATGTTGTAATTTTACCAGTATATTTTATAATTCTTATATCACTTAAGGATATGTTTACAATTATAGGTATGCCAGTACATTTACATTTAAATCTAATTCAAAAATACTTACCAAAAAACACTGAAGATGTTCTAACTGCAATTCAGTTTCTTCACACAACTGCAAACAATAAGGTGGTTCTTTTGGATGAAGTATCATCATCATATGGCATACATTTCAAATAAAACTGACTTCACACTATTAAAATCCCCTGTTCAGTGAACCGTGATAATGAACATGTTACTAAGTTTCAAGTTGATGTGACCCCTGTGAACTTCATGGTTAACTACTTTAAAATGAAAAACTTTAACCTGAGAATGTACTGGTTTTCACAGTATCACATGTCTATGATTATTGAACCGAAAAAATGGGGGCAAAAGCTTATTTTGGAATATTTTTTTTTTAAAACTTTACATCACAATGAGCATGTTTACTAAGTTTCCAGTTGATGGGACATTCACTTCCTGGTAAGCAACCTTGATTAAATGCATTAACCTGACACGGACGGATGAACAGACAGAGTAATCAACAGTCCATAGACCAGATAGCATAATGTAGGTGAGCATAAAAAATCATGAGTAACAACCATTTATATCTATGCACTGCAAGTATGAAAGCTCATTTAAATCTGATTAACATACAAAATTTCTAGAGAGTGTAATGTGCAAAAATCTGTTACATACAAGCAAACACCTTATAAAAGTATCCAGATTTTGATAGCTTGTGTATTTTCATATATTTTGTTATATACTGAGCGACAAAAGAAAGGATACACTTATTTATTATCAAATTTTCAAAAAATAGGTTTTACAATAAAATTAACAAATGTATGAAAGACAGACAATGAAGTATGCATCCTAAAAAAAGTACAGCTGAGTAACAGTTTTGGCACAATGTCAAAAACAACAGATGAGATCAAAAATCTGGAATAACAGTACGTTTCATCAGATGTTTAGCGTTTGAAAAGTCAATATCTTGTGTGTCCACCATTGGCATAAATTACTGCTTGAAGCCTATGTCGCATAGACAAGACAATTTTGGAAATTGTAGCCTGAGGCATGTTGTTCCACTCCTGTTGTAATGTTTGGGACAATTCTTGCAGTGCAACAGGTTGGCTTTGCCTTGAGCGAACTCTGCGGTTAAGTTCATCCCATATGTGCTCGATAGGATTCATGTCAGGAGATTTCAATGGCCATGGCAACACATCGATGTTTTGTTGCTGCAAGTAGGCATTTGAAACTCGAGCAGTATGGGGACGGGCATTGTCATGGTGAAATGTTATTCCATATCTGTTAATGAAATTAACCACTTCCGTTGACAGAATTTCATCTCTAAAGCGTTGGGCATTAAGTGTTCCATTCCAGTCCGGTTGCATGTAGATATGCCACCCCAAACCATGACACTAACACTTCTAAATCTGTCATGCTGTTGGACACAACAATATGCAAACCGTTCACCCGATCGTCTATAAACTCTTGCTCGACCATCTGAATGATGGAGAGTGAATCTGTACTCATCCGAAAACAAAATATTGTTCCATTCATTGTTGAGTCTCCATCAAAAACGAGCTTGACACCATCTTAACGGCTCTTGTCTGTGTCGTTGTGTCAGTGTCGGTCCCCTATAAGCACGTCTAGGACGAAGATTAAAAGACCGTAGTCTTCTACGGACTGTTTGTGCACTGATACATTTGCCCTGAACAACACCAGTCGATGCCCGAGGAGGCATAAACCTATAGAGCAAATGTCGTATACGAATGAATCTGTCGTCAGCAATTGTTGTTACCCGTGGCCGCCCAGACCAAGGTCGATCAACCATAGAACCAGTCACTTGGAATCTCTGCTGTAGCCGATATAATGCCAAATGTTTACAGCCAATTGCTCTTGACACAGCAGTTATACCCATGCCGGCTTTAAATGCCAATTGCACGTTCCCGTAATGCGGGCATAAGACGGGGCTTTTTGAAATGTTTTCTTGTAACTTACGACTGAATACAGTAACGATGTCGAGCAACATCAAATTTAGGCGAATTTAAATAAAGATTTTTCTGCTCGTGCAAATTTTCCAAAATTCGAATTTAAATACTGTGAAGTACTCACCTGTTGTACAGGTAAAAAAATATGTATCAGCCATAGTTTTACCTAATTAAGGCGTGTATCAAGTTTCATTTTTATATCTTTAGTTTTAAAAAAAATATTAAAAAAATAAAAGTGTATCCTTTCTTTGGTCGCTTAGTATATATAATCAGATGAATTTTATTCATACTGAGTCTTGAGAAGAAATTCCCTTGGCCAAAACAGCTAAAGAAATGTAACCTTTTCTTGTCTTGTATTTACCACTCCTGAGAAAGATATATCTGTTCAATACAATACAAATACAGTTATTAACTGATAATTGCAAGTTTTCTCAATGGTAAGCGTGAACAATACACTGACAGGCCAACGCAAATAAACCCACACCACATAGAGTGCAATATGGAATATCAATGCAGATGCTTTTTTCACCTGAAGCCCGTTCTAACAGACTACTTTTTTCATCTTTAGCCCTTTCTAACTGACTACTTTTTTCAACTTTAGCCCTTTCTAACAAACTACTTTTTCACCTTTAGCCCTTTCTAACAGACTACTTTTATTCACCTTTAGCCCTTTCTAACTGACTACTTTTTTTTCACCTTTAGCCCTTTCTAACAGACTACTTTTTTCACCTTTAGCCCTTTCTAACAGACTACTTTTTTTCACCATAAGCCCTTTCTAACAGACTACTTTTTTTAACCATGAGCCCTTTCTAACAGACTACTTTTTTTCACCTTGTGTCCTTTCTAACTGACTACTTTTTTCACATTTAGCCCTTTTTAACAGACTACTTTTTTTCACCATAAGCCCTTTCTAACAGACTACTTTTTTCACCTTTAGCCCTTTCTAACTGACTACTTTTTTTCACCATAAGCCCTTTCTAACAGACTACTTTTTTTCACCTTTAGCCCTTTCTAACTGACTACTTTTTTTCACCTTTAGTCCTTTCTAACTGACTACTTTTTTCACCTTTAGCCCTTTCTAACAAACTACTTTTTCACCATAAGCCCTTTCTAACAGACTACTTTTTTCAACTTTAGCCCTTTCTAACTGACTCCTTTTTTTCACCATAAGCCCTTTCTAACAGACTACTTTTTTTCACCTTTAGCCCTTTCTAACAGACTCCTTTTTTTTCACCTTTAGACCTTTCTAACTGACTCCTTTTTTTCACCATAAGCCCTTTCTAACAGACTCCTTTTTTTCACCTTAAGCCCTTTCTAACAGACTACTTTTTTTTCACCTTTAGTCCTTTCTAACCGACTTACTATTTTCAAACATTGTTGGTGTATTGAGTGTGTTGTTCATTGTTTGTACATTATTTTTCTGTAGGATTTGTTGTTGGAGGTTGATCTGGTCGGTTGTACTGTCAGTGTCCAGTA